TTCATATGTCTATAATTTTCCTTTGTTTTATCTTCATTTTGAACTTATCTAATGAGTTCTGTTTACTTGCAGCTTAAGCGCAATAAATGAAACTTATTGTTTTTCTTAACTTTCTTCGTGTTTTCTTGTTTTTATTTATTTTGCTGTATATATATATATATATATATATATATATTATTCCAAAACTAACCCAATCACTAAAACGTTACTATCTTTAAGATGGATTGCAAAAGAACCGTTAAATGCCATTCAGTTAAAAATATATGATGACGTTTAAACGGTTAATGCCCGTTTACAAAATTTAGTCTATATGTGAAAAACACTTATATAAAAAAGTAGAAATACATAACTGCTTATATTAAGTTATAGATCCAAATTAAAATAGTGGTAGGATAATTATATTTAGATCAAATGAGGTATTTAATCCCTAATTACTATGAAATGTTAACTATTTTAGTAATTGTATTTAGTTCTAAAATAATAAGAGTGTTATTTTCAAATTAAAGTGCGATCTATTTAATTTTCTTAATTAGTCGACTGATGAGACGATATAATTTATTACAAAAACTCCATATGGTTAACCAAACTGAATTTGGGAAATATCTCTATTCAAGAAGTATCAGATTAAATGTACCCTAAATGAATGATGGATTGCTGACTTACAAATTACTTCAATATTTATAGCATCATACTTGCTATTAGTAGGCTGATCATCATAAATAACGCACCAAAATCTTTTAAACTTGACCAAGCGGATGTAAAAAGAAAGTTAGTCAAAACAAATCATATTTACAAAATATGAATGGCAAACAAATAGAATTTTTTTGAAGACCCCACAATATGACCCACATTTAGAATACAACATTCTAATGAAGGACTTTTACTGGAAATGATCCTTGAAATGAAGACCTGTATTTCATTTAATGATTCTTCTATTTCAGTTGCAAAACGAGAAGCTTCATTTTGAAGAAAGTTGTCTCTTGGCAATGCTAGTGAGTTGGGGGAAAAAGTTCTTTGCTATAAATATGCCTTCAAGTTATGTCTCCAACGTATTTACTTATAAATATGCCTTCAAGTTATGTCTCCAACGTATTTACTTATTAATATGCTTTCAAGTTATGTCTCCAACGCATTTACTTAGTTTCGTATAGTGCACGAATTTCGGATTTTTACACAATCTCTTATTGATTGTTATGGAAAATTTGAAAGCTTATTTCTCGTTGCAGTGTTTCAGTCTATCTTATTGGTCCGAATTTGATTCACCACCGATCGCCTCAAATGAATTTAAAATTACATAGTTTACAGAAGTACTTATGATTGTGTTTTCTTTTCTTTTGACAGAAGCCATTGTTTTTATGGATGGGGGATTTTGAACTTTAATCCCTTCCCCTAAAAAAAACCGCTATTGCAAAAATGACACCCTTAGCACTATAAATAAGTTACTTCTTAAGAGCTTAATTAAAAATGAGAATATTTTGCCACCAATTTTTTTTAAAAATTCTTTTTGGTACATAAAATATTATAAAAACCGGTTTAGTGCTGCTTCACCATCTTATCACGGGACAAGTAAAAGTCAAATGAAAGAAAACTTGCAAACTGTTGTGAATTTCTACTTATTGGATGTGTATTATTAAATGTGTTTGCAAATTCAATCGTACCATGTTTTTACTTCCGGTGATAATTTCGATTTTGAAAGAAAATTTTCTAAATTACCACTCAAAACGAAAATTAAGTAATAAGTATTTACCGTAAATTAAAATATTACAAAAATAATTACACATAAAGGAACATCCATATTTCTAATTTAAGTTTTGAATCGTAATGTTTATAAGTAATAATTAAACAAGCGGAACATTAAATTCCTTTTTACTTCATAGACGCTTAATTTTTAGAACTAAATTTGGATTCCAATTTGAAATTATTTCACTTTACTCCCTTTTATATTAGATTATTATTCGTCTTAAAATCAATTGCTTACATTAACTTATATGCGCTAGAGATCTAATCATTAATAATGAAGCAGAAACTATAATTACCCTTAAACTAAATAAGTAAATTTCCTTCCTGTGAGCTACTACTTGAGAATACGCCGCATTAAGGGACGCCATACCATTTCTTTCATTTCAATAACTAATTTGAAATTTAAAGTTAAAAAAAAAGTGAGTTCAGACAAACCTAGAGTAAGCCATAAAGTTTCAAATACTGATAAGAAATTTACAGTTACCACGAGGGAAGCTTTTCGTCGCAAATTCTCTTTCACCTCAATAGCTAATTTAAAATTTAATGTAAAAAAGTGAGTTCAGACAAACCTAGAGTAAGCTACAAAGTTTCAAATACTGATAAGAAATTTATAGTTAACGCGGGGGAAACTTTTCGTCGTAAATTCTCTTTCTCCTCAATAACTAATTTAAAATTTAATGTAAAAAAAAGTGAGCTCAGACAAACCTAGAGTAAGCTACAAAGTTTCAAATACTGATAAGAAATTTATAGTTACCGCGGGGGAAATTTTTCGTCGCAAATTCTCTTCCACCTCAATAACTAAATTAAAATTTAATGTAAAAAAAAGTGAGTTCAGACAAACCTAGAGTAAGCCATAAAGTTTCAAATACTGATAAGAAATTTATAGTTACCGCGGGGGAAATTTTTCGTCGCAAATTCTCTTTCACCTCAATGACTAATTTAAAATTTAATGTAAAGAAAAGTGAGTTCAGACAAACCTAGAATAAGCCATAAAGTTTCAAATACTGATAAGAAGTTTATGGTTACCGCGGGGGAAATTTTTCGTCGCAAATTCTCTTCCACCTCAATGACTAAATTAAAATTTAATGTAAAAAAAAGTGAGTTCAGACAAACCTAGAGTAAGTCATAGAGTTTCAAATACTTATAAGAAATTTATAGTTACTACGGGGGAAACTTTTCGTCGCAAATTCTCTTTCACCTCAATAACTAATTTAAAATTTAATGTAAAAATGTGTGTTCAGACAAATCTAGAGTAAGTCATAGAGTTTCAAATACTGATAAGAAATTTATAGTTACCGCGGGGGAAATTTTTCGTCGCAAATTCTCTTTCACCTCAATGACTAATTTAAAATTTAATGTAAAAAAATGTGTGTTCAGACAAACCTAGAGTAAGTCATAAAGTTTCAAATACTGGAAATAAATTTTTAAAGTATCAAAATAAAAATAAAACATGAGAAGATAATTTAGGATTGCACAATGGAGAAGTTCCCCATCAAATAATTGCATTTGATATTTGTTGTTATATTGTTTGCATTTTGATATTTAGAAAAAAAATTCAGGTATTGAAGCTTCATGACTTAGTCTAGATTTGTCAGTAGTATGTCAGTAGTAGCTTTGTGCGAAACAAAACATTCACGCAATCCGATCAGATAAAACTAAACAAACAACTCTCCACGACTGTTCCAGAACCTGACAACAAAACCCGATCGATACTCAAACCCTCTGAAAATCCCCGTTGCCATCGGAATTACAAAACTTTATCACAACACCTCTCTCCCTATAGGAAAACGCCATATTAAACTGCACGCAACTGTTCCAAAACCTGACAAGGTGAAGCATATAGTGACCATATCATACTTCTTTTGTCTGAATTCACTTTTTCTTCACTTTAAATTTTAAATTAGTTATGGTGATGAAAGAAAATTTGCAATGAAAAGTTTCAACCGCGTTATGCAACGATTTGCCCCAAAATTAGATAATCGAAACCA